TGTGTAATTCACTTTGTTAATTATGACTGTCAACTTGAATGGGTGAAGAGAGTTCTGGAGAGGTGATTGGGTCAATGGGTGCAATACTCACCCATGGATTAATGCACTCTGCTCATAGCTGAATGTGCTATTAAGAGGTGGACCCATTAGGAGGAAGCCTGACTGTCATGGACTGAGCCCCCTCAAACCGTGAGCCAAATGAAATCTCTCCTCTTTTAAGTTGCAGGTGTCAGATGTTTTGTCCCAATGGTAGGAAAGCTGATCAGTACATCCACTCAGATTATGAATATCTGCTTACGTGATTATTCTCTTCCATGCTTTCCTAAATTCTTACACTCAGTACCTCAGGTAGAGGCTCCAGTCTTGCTGTTTCTGTTGGAGTTAGATGTGCATATCATGGTGAATTATGAGCTGCCACATTTTAGAGGGTCTTATGTCACAAGAGAAGAGACTTGTGTTGTGTTCCCAGAAGGAAAAACACCATTAAGGGGATGTCTGTTTCTGGTTCCTGGTTGCCTGCTTTTCCTGGGTGTGTGCTACTTTTTTATTCCTCCTGTGTTCTGTCTCCATGAAGATGCAGAAAGACACATAAACCTGGGGCGACATGGCTGTTCTGTGGTCACAGCACCTGAAAATTCTGTTTTAAAAATGGCTGTGAGATGGATCCAATCCTGCTGTTCTGTGTGGCTGGCAGCACCATCTTTATATCGATGCCACCCTGAGCTTTTAGTCAGTTGGTGGCTGGTTTTCCTTCTGTAGCCTTGGTCACAAGGAAAACTGATCTGTGGACTTCACATTGTCTTTCCTTACTGGCTGCTCAATACAATCTTGGACATTTTATCAGTTATTATCACATCTTCAGGCAGCTTTCCTTACAATGTAGACAACTTGTTAAAAATCAGGTACATTTCCTATTTTCTTATTGGACAAGAACAATCCTTTTTTTTTTTTTTTTCAAAATAGAGTGTTTCATGGTCTTAAAATAGTTTCCAAATTCCCCTTGGCCAGAACTAGTCTCTTTTTATTATGTTTCACCTAAATCTTGGTATCACTTTTTTTATATTAATGTGGAAGGAAGAATCTAATTTTGGTTTGCAGGTTATAAGAATGGAAAATTGGGTCTGTTAAATTCAATTTTTTTCCCCAAAGCTTCCCCTTGTCTTTTTCTTTTACTTCTCAGCTCTGTAAAAGTCTCATCTTTTCTCATTCTGGAGCAGTTGCTACTCTTTCCCTTATCTTTGTTTAAAAAAATAAGTAGAATGAACAGAAACAAAGAAAAGCATATTGACTGAGTGTCCTATTATTTGGTTTATTTAAAGACCCTGTGCTAAATTTCTCATGGAAAATTTACCCTGATTGAATTCTAATTTCAGTTAGTGTCTCTTACCTGAAATCCCACAATGATAGAATATTGATTTTGCTCCTTTGTTTTATTTCTGTGTGAACTTATCTAATATAGGGAGTAACATTAGCAACATTCTCAAACTAATAGAGCTTCTCAAAGTACATGCTTCTTGTAAATGAATTAGAGCAAATGCGAACTCTTGTTCAACAAGTTTAAAATCCCTATTAGAAACTCTTGCCTGGGTGGGAAATATTATGGTTTAGGATTATTTTGATATTTATAGATTAAAAACCTTTCCTTGGCATGAGCCTTTGAATGGAATTTATTTATATCTTCACATTTACTCTAAATATACAGACAGAGAAAAATTAATTTCAGTCAATTTATTTCAGATCTTAGTTCTGAAACAAGCCTTTCATTAAAAAAATATTTTTTTCCTGAGCATTGAATATTGTCTAGAGTTTTTTTTCATATTAGTCAATGGTACATGAAAAAATAGGGGGACTCGACCGGGAGAGGCTATGCTGCTGGATTATTCCAACATGTTACAGTCATGAAAGAGTTCAGCTTTTCCAACTGTAAATTTGGGTTACCATGGAACCCTTCGCTGTGGAGAATTTTAGTCATATTCATTAGCAGCTGATTAAATTTGAAAAATGTTTAAACGGAATACACATTAGAAAAATAAAGAGAAAATGGAAGCACATTTTGAAGTTTCACTTCTAATAATCTAATTTATAGACTTAAAACGGCCCAGTGGATGCTTTGCCTGTCTGCTTGCACAAAGGTAAGCTGAGGGTGGTGTCCTCGTGCCTTCTGGGCCATGTTGCAGGACCCCTCTCCAGACAGGACAGCTGTTCGACTCCCACAAGGACTCTGACCGTGCGGATGGCTCATGGCCCTGTGATGCGGGTCATTGCAGAGTGGGCTCGGGAGGGTCCCCTGGGTGGGAAGCCGCTGTCAGGCTTCTAGCTCATGGTGAGCTATTCATCTTTTAATTCTCATTTTCTAAAATCCCTAGGTTTTAACCAAATGTGTCCATTTTTAAACAGCGGCAACAGAAATTTTAAAAAAAATTTAAAAAACCCAAAATTCTGTAGAAAATCTTCCTGATGAAATGCAAGCCTATTCGGGAGTAGAAAGACAATTTGATAAACCTTGTTACACCACCCTGGCATCTTTTTCTCTCCGAAAAGTAACACACAGTACACGTAGCTGGATACAAGAATGTCACTTTCTGTTATTTCCAATCCACAATTCCCTACATAAATACACTAATATTTCAGTAAAATACACATTCATAAGAGTATCTATATTATTATATTCATATATATGTATATAGTACGGAGAGGTAGAAAGAACCTCCAAGATAGACTAATCAAATGAAATGAGTCTTTGGCTGTTTGTAGTTCCTCTAAATAAAAGTGGGCGGCCCAGTGTCCATCCTGAGCATCAGGGCAGCTGGGGGCCCACAGTGGGAATGCATCGTGTCCAGTGGAAAGCACAACACCCCCAATCGCAGGCCGAGGGGACGCGCCGCGCGGGCCCAGCGTCTCGTTCCACTCGGAAGCTTCTGCGGGGCTTGAGCTCATCCCTGTAGTTTACTGGGCGATGGTCGTCGCGGCAGCGTCGGGATGGAGGAGACAGATGCTAGCTGCATGCTCCTGGCGACAGGTCACTGCGGGGTGATGAGCTGCCTGCCACGTGGGGGACCTGCCCGTGACTTCCCTCCCACGGTGAGCAGCAGCTTTGACGTTGCGACGGAGCAGACAGCCAGCACGCGGTGCCCTGGCTGCTTCTCGCCATGCTGAATTCCTAGGTACCCATTAAATTTGCCCTTGGTGCTAACACTGGTAAACACAAGTCCTCAGCGGAATGAGCTAATGAGGCTGTGTGGGTGGTGGTATTATTATTATTATTATTATTATTATTATTATTATTATTATTATCTTAAGAAGCATCTTGAATACTGAGACAAATGTGCATTTCTCCAGAACCCATCTGGATCCGTCTTCCTGAGCTCGCTGGTGTTCGCGCGCGACTCTGCTAGTGCTAGGCTTTTCACTGGCTCTTATTTGGTAATTTCAGTGCTTGAGGACAAGTTGGAAGGATATCGGGTTTCCAGGGGTCTCTATGCTTTTTAATGGGCCAGACTTAGTAAAACAATTGGCAGGAAAAATTAGGATTTCTCAGGGAGATTAATGACCATTGAGGCTTTTCTTTGGACTGTTCCACTCTCTGTCTCTGGCCTTAATGAAAACCAAGTGAAAACGTGGAGCCAAAGTCGAGAGTCGGTGTTGGCGCCTTTGCAGTATGGCCAAAAATATTCTGATGCAGATTCGAGCCTCTGCTTCTCCCAGTGATTGGTTAATTATTTCATTCACTCATCTAATGAACCCATGTATGGTATCCCAAGCATAGGGGTTCAACAAAAAATAAAACCCTTATTTACCCCGGAGCAACCTGTGGCACAGGAGGAGCGCAGATATGTGAGCACACAGCCACCCTGCAGTGGAACCAGAGTGCAGACATTATGGCAGTGGCTCGAATGGAGCGACCAGTTTTGCTTGGACAGGAGAGAGGCTGTCACAAAAAGAAAGGTTGTTGCAGGAACAATGGGATTTCCTGTGTTGATTGAGCAGGAAAGTGGATTTCAAAGAGAAAAAAGTATCTGAAAATGCATAAAAGCAGAAAGCCTCCCACTGGCTCATGCGTGGGTCATAGGTCACAGTGGCTGGAGTGTGGGGTGCAGGGGTCAGACAGCAGGTGGCGTGGACCAGGGGAGACAGACCCAGAGAAGGAGGAAAGGCCGAGGCATGGCCGGCTCTGGACACTGGGGAAGCTGGGGGTTTGGAACCACAGAAACTTATGAAGACAGATGGTGACTTCATGGTATGACTCTTTTGAAACATTACTTGCAGAGCGAAATAGGAGGGGACAAGAGGGACTCAGGGTAGACACAGGTGGGTAAACTAGAAGGAAAATGCAAAGACCCCAGAGGAAGAGGAGCGTACATTGCAGCCACCTCATCCGTGTCATGGCCTGCTTGTTCCTGAAGTGCAGTGGAAAGAACCAGGAATCAGGAGGTGTTGAGTATGAAACGTTTGGGAGGCGAGAAGCAGCCTTCTCACCTATCCCTGGGCAAGGCAAACTGGAAAGGCCGTGTCGATGATTAACCCTGTCTCGCTGGCTCGTCCAGCCTGGCCCCTTCGTACACCTGGCTTCCCACAGGAGCTCTTAGAACAAGAACAACGGGCTGGGATGCATGAAGGATAATGACGCATTAGAAAAACATGGTGTTAATAAGCTTAATTAGGGTGGTGATTTTGAAAGGACTTGGTACTCGTAGACCAGCACACAAACCTTAAACGTTGCAACTGTTTTCCATATACTACCAAAGTGGAGGCATTAACCCAGGCAGCAGAACACTTATTCTGTTCCACATCCATAGAACCCAAGCCTTAACAAAATCATAATCTCATCACTGCCTCATTACTAGCATGGGTCTAGCTAGTAATATTTCTTAAGGGGTAGGGGGCATGATTCAGTGGTAGAGTGCATTCCTACCACAGTCAAGACCAAGGGTTCAATTCCCAGCCCAGGAAAATATAAATGAATGAATAAATAAATGATTGGCACTATCATCATTTCTCTGTGTGTAGAACGGCACTCAAACATCCTTCATTATCTGGTAAATTTTCATTCAGTTCAATCAGTGCTTCTGGACTTCCTGCTACAACTCAAGGAAAGATCTGGCTCTGGGAATTCAAGTGTTAACAAGCTGCAGTTCTGATTTCTCCTGATCTTCCTTTGGTGAAGAAGACAATGGTTAACAGCAGGAAAGTTCGAGTACATGAAATAAGGGAGAGAATGCTGTGTGAGCTAATGTCAGGGCTAGGGTGAGATGGGGAGACTAAGTGTCATGGTTTGTACCTGGATGTCACCCCAAGACCACATGAGCTCATATGCAGGGCTTTGGAAGAAAATTGGATTCTGGAGGCTTCCAGCTCAATTTCTCTTAGGAAGGGGGACCTGGTCAGATGATGTTGGTCCCTGGGGCCGTGGCCTAGAAGGGTGTACTTCCCTCTGCAGCTCCTCTCTTCTCTCTCTCTCTCCTTCCTATCTGCCATGCCCCAAGCAGCTCTCCTCCGCCAGCCCCTCTGCCGTGCCACCCTGCCTTGGAGCTGGCTGGCTATGAACAGGAAGCTCTACCAACTGAGCCAAAATAAACCTTTGCCCCTTTGAGTTGTGGGTGTCAGGTTTTGACACCAGTGAGTGACAGTGGAAGTAGGCACACGTGGGGTGAGCAGAGAGAGACTGAGCAGGGGCTGGTGATGGTCAGGTGTGGAGGGGCAAGAGCGGGAAGGGATGGAAAGGTGATGCCCCTGGGTGCATCGATAGGGTGATCTGAGTGCCCCTTCTTATGTGCTAGACCTACTGTTTCATATTCATTTTCACTTACATTTTTCCTGAGATTCATCCATTCTTGGTATACAGGTGATAGAAGAAAATGCTCCAATTGGTTCTCTAAGATGAAATGAATATGGGTGGTAGTAACACAGGATGACAGAAGCAAAGTAGTCACTTTGACGGAGGAGAACAGCAAAGCGGAGAGCAGTTGTGGCCAGGAGGTAAAGCGTTCACCTGCGGATGAGCAAGCTGGAGGCGCACGAGTTAGGAAGGGACAGTCTCTGCTCGGTCGTTCTGAGTCTGAGATGGGTGGGGAGAAAGAGAAAAGGGAGATACTGGGCATCTGCTGGGCGATAATTACATGCTATGAGGCAAAACTGATCTCATGTATGAGGTGTGATAAACACATACAGCAAATGTTTGATTTCTTTAAAAATGTATTACAGTAAAGGTCGCTTTGCCATTGCTCCCCCCGATCTCCTGCCCCTCATTTTAAACACTCTGATTCCATCATTCTTGACAATTTCAGAATTAGTTCCGAAAGTGCCCTTTCCTGGGTGCCTTTTCCCGGCTACCTTGATGTCCTGACTCATTTCAAAATATTTATGGCAATTTTTGTCAAACCATCATCACCTTATTCACCAGATCTGGCACCACTTGACTTCCAGCTCTTCCACAACAAAAGGGAAGTGTTTCGAGTCAACTCAGGACATGGAGGCAGCCAGCACAGTGCAGCTAAAGACCCTCCGGAAAGACGACTCCAGAGCTGCTGTGGGAAGTGGCGAGGACGATGGGACGAGTGTCGGAAGTGTGGGAGAGGTCTTTGAGGGGACTCACGGCAATGTGTCTTTACTGTAGTACAGTTGTTTTCGTTTTGTCTTTTGTTTTTGGTCCCGGGGTACGAACGCAGACTTTGCACTTGTGAGGCAGGCATGACACCACTGAGCTAAATCCCCGGCCTTGCAATACAGTGTTTAATTTAAACACTCATTTTTTATCACACTTTATAAAGACCATTGAAACAATACTGATACGTAATACAGAAAATTCTATGTGAAACCAGGATCATAAAAAAATTTGGGGGTTTAAAGCATGCATTTGAGAACTGGAACCTGAAGGAGTATGGTTCAGGCATCCTTTGCAGTGGTAATGCTAATCTCATCAGTTGGGTCTCCTAAAAATTCAGTTCTTTGCTGGTAGCTAATATTTGACTTTCCCATTAGATTTTATGTTCTTGGCAAATCTTTATTTATTTTAAGTGCCTAAAGCAGTGCTACACCTTTCTACTAATTATGATTGTCTGTAAGGCTTTGGAAATTTAAAAATATTCAAATATTACAACTTGCTCATCTTGTAGAACTAATTTTCTTAAATTTGTCCATGAATGGGTGATTATCACTGAAAGGTAGTTTCTGATGGAAAAAAGTTTAATATATTTGAAAATAGTCTATTTTTTATCTATAGACTTAATTTCTTTTCTGCCTTAAATAGAGAAAATTTATTTAAAACTTTCAAAATGTTGTCTTCATTATATTTTAAAATTTATTTTAGTCATTTCAATTATAAAATAATATATATTCATTCCAGCAACTTCACCAGATGTTTTTGGTATAAAATAAAATGATCTTGGGCTGGGGATTTAGCTCAGTGGTGCCACTGCCTGCCTCACAAGTACAAGGTCCTGAGTTTGATCCCTGGTACAATAAAAAAAAAAATAAATAAAGAAACGAAACTAAAATGATTTCTTTCCAGAATACTACTGTAAACAATGGTGGCATATTCTTTTATCTTTTTATATTAAATTGGATATTGACATGTCTAAATACTTACTTTTGGTTTTTGTTTATTTTATAAAGTACATCATTTTGTATATGGCTGCCTAAAATCTACTAGTTTTCACTTACCAGTTTTATATCATGGATTCGTTCCAAGTCTTAGGATTTGCCTTCATCCTGACTGCTGGGATAACATTCCAGGAGTATGTGCAGTGATTTACACAGGAAAATCCTCCTCTTCAGGTTGTTCATGGTCTTGGGTAATTACCAACCAATCTCACAGTTCCTTTACAAACAAGTTCTTTTATTTTTGTAGGATGAAATGAGCAAACGAATATGAAAAGGACAAGTAATTTAACATACATATAGATAAAAAGATAGGGTAGGATTAGTTACAGAAAAGGAAATGCAAATGATCAATACATTTCAGAACATTCATGCCATTAACATTCAGAAAAATGTAAACGTCCAAAAGCATGTAAAAACAAAAATAACTAAAATTTCTAAATGTCAATTTTCACATATTGTATTGACAAAAATTAACAATATTCATAACATCCCAAAATGGTAGAAGTGTGATGAAATGGTGATCTTAACTATTATTGTCAGGACTATAAATTAAATTTTTGAGAAAGAATTTGCTGTTATATATTAAAATTAGACATGTATAAGCCCTTTGACTTACTAATGCTCCTGGAAATTAAAGTGGGTTATTTTTTACAAATCCCTAGAAGTATTAGGAAGCGAATGACACAGTGAATAAGGTCCCAATTATTTTTATCGATAAAAGGAAAAGTAAATATTAGTAGCAGCACATATAAGTAGCAATTGGGAAGGGAAGCAATGAACATCTGTCTCAATATATTAATATCTATCCTACTCTGCCTATGTGGTATTTTCACATAACGAATGTTTAATGACTCCTTTGGAAGAAGGAAGTTGACAGGTGCTGGTGTTTCCAAATTTATGGCTTAGGTCTAGGTGTCCCCCCAAAGCCTTGTGCAGTTACAGGCAGGACCTCTGGAAGGTGGTTGGATCATGGGTTTATAGCTGGCTTGCTGGGGCCAGGTTGAAAGAGGCGGTCACTGTGGTGTGACCCGGAAGCTTATACCTCCCTTTCTGCTCCTCCGTTGACCCTTGCTTCCTGTCGGCTGCCCTGCCTCAGAGCCAGTCAACTATGGACTGAAGCCTTTGCAAATTATGACCCAAAGTAAGCCTTTCTTCCTTTGAGTTGTGAGTGTTGGGTATTGTGTCTCAGTGACAGAATGTGACTACGACAAAATCTATTAAAAATGCACGCAGAGAGGGCACAAGCACTGTGTAAACTTGGCGGCAAAGTCTCCCTCCACACGAATCTTGCCCAGTCTCTCATGAGGATGCTGGTGTTGGGCTGCCTGGAGTGATGCGGAGAGGAAGGGCTGGTCCTCCAGGTCAGCCTGTGGCTCGGAACCGATGAGACACCTATGTGAAACACGGTTTTGCTTGTGCCACAGGAAGTGTGTGGTATCAGGGAGGACAGGCAGAGCAGTGTGGCTCAGCACACTGGGCTTTCGTGAGGTGTGTGGGAGCATGTGCTGTGGGGACTGAGCTGTGAGCTGCAGGACACAGGGAAGGCTGACCACAGGTGAGTGTGTGTGTGGGGTCCTCGCAGGGGCTGGGCATTGGAGCAGGAGTTCCGGACAGAGATCTAAGCAGAGTCAGGTGGTGACCTTAGCAGGGTCCTTTCAGGTCTGCGTTTCAGATCAGGAAGCTGGCTCCTGGGGGCTTGGACAACACAAATTCAATCTACACCATTGTATGACTTTTTATGGCTGTTGTAAAAACCACAGCAAAATGGGTGGCTTCAAATACGCCCATCTATTGTGCCACAGTTCTGGAGGCCAGAAGTCTGAAATCAGAGCAGGAACAGGGGCATCTCCCTTCTTCTGGCTGCTGATGGAGGCTATAATGTTCTCACAGGCAGAGACTTCTTGTCTCTGCCCCACGGTCACAGGACACCTCCCGAGTACCGTGCGTGTCTCCACATGCTGCACACTCACTGTGGTTCTTCTTTCAAGGGCAGTGTCACTGGGCTAAGCCTACCCTAATCTCGTAGGATCTCCTCTCCTCTCACATTCAAATCACATCTGCAGTCTGTTTTCAGATAAGACGACATTCACAGGCAGCCAAGGCCAGGACCGAAACCTGTCTTCCTGCAGGGCACCATTCAGCCCACAGCCCCACATGTAGTAGGAGTTCAGCAGGGTCCTCACCTGGCCTGGTCAGGGGTGGCCATGGCAGTAGAGAGCGATTTCCGATAACCGTGTTTCTCTGAAAGGAGGATCCTCGGGGAGGCTATTGATCTCTAGACAGAATGCAGAGGACTGAGTGTAGACAGGCGGAGAGGCATTGTCACCCACCGCTGGCAGTGTGTACATTTTATTTGAGAAGTGCAGAAACTTCAGTAGAAAGGAACTGGTCATGACTCAGTTTGTGCGGGCTGTGTTTTCAGCAAGTACACAGCACAGACTGAGAGCTGAGCCTGGACGGGGGGCTGAGATCCCAACACACTGCAGAGACCTGAGGAGTGTGAGTCACCCAAGGAGCACGGAAGCAAAGCCACCCAGTCACTGCTTACCCACACCGGGTGGGGAGGGCACCAGGTTCTCAATGAGGAGAACAGACACACATCCGTGGAGCCCAGTAAGTCCTTCTAGGTGGCCCGACCCAAAAATAAACGTATCTCTGCTTTGTGTCTGTACCGCACGCATAGCTGTGTCAGCACCGATGCCCGGACCCACAGATGCTGTCTGCATCTGTGTCTGCCCCGGCTGCTTCTGAATTCTAGATTTTGCATCAATAACCAAAACTTTTTTCGCTTCTTAAAATCCTATGCAACGTTGTTTGGAATGTTTATACTTGGTGTCTTAGTTACCTTTCTCAATGCTGAGACAAAATACCCGACACCCACAAGTTAAAGGAGGAAAGGTTTATTTTGGCTCACAGTTTGTAGAGGTCGCAGGCAGGGCACTGTGGCCGGGGGACGTGGTGGAGGAGAAACAGTCCTTCTGGCAAGCAGAAGGCAATGAGCAGTCGCGGCAGGGAGCAGCAGCACCAAGCCTGCGTTTCCCCCTTTCCTTTATGCTCTGTCCAGGATACAAGTCTACTGATTGGTTCCACTCATACCCAAGGTGGGGCTTCCATTACCCACGCCCTTAGTCCCAGCGTCACACTCTTGATTCACATGCCCACGCCCTACTCCAGCCACCTTTGAGACTTCCCACCTATGAGCACACGCGGCTTTGGGGACATCGAGATACCTGCCGTAACACTTGCTAACTGATCCTACCTAATTTTTTAGTGTGAGTGGTTAAACAATATTTTTCCTAGAATATGTTTGTGATCCATAATGATGTTCACCTTGGGGATTTGGGGCACCCTCAAGGCTCAGCTTGGCCATTCTTACTCAATGTCCTCCCTACCCTACTCGCTCCTTTCTTTCTCAGATCCTCTTCCCATCTTCAGAATCTACATCTCTTTCCTACCCTTTCTTCTATTTAAAAAATATATTTATATTTTGAGTCTCTCATAGTAGAGGAACCAGGCAGCACTTTACCTTCCCTGTCTGGTTTACTTCAATCACCATATGGAGCCATCCATTTTCCTACAAATGACCCAACTTACCCTCCTTTATGGGTGAGTAGTACTTCCTTTGGTATAAATACCACATTGTAAAAATGTGACTCTTGAGCTCCAAACATGAGCAGATTGGTGCCCCGACTCTTTCTTTTTCATGCTATTTTAACAAGATGCCTTCTCTTCAGACGTGATATCAGTCTCACAACATCAGTGCTCTCATTCTGGAAGAAACAGGAGGAAAGGCAAAAGTACTCACGAGAAGACACAGGAAAGCAGTTTCTTGAATGTGGACCCAAGGTCAGGTCAATACCAAAAGCAAAGGTTGACTGAAGAATTGTAATAAAACCAGAAATGCCAATAGTAATCACAGCTGCTCCTATTTTATCAGCAATTGTGGTAGGCCCTTGTATACTACTTATGTTACTTGAGACATCACTGCAGCAATGATGTTCTCAGTCCTACACTTCAGGTAAAAAAGTGGAGGCCATGTATTATGATCAAGTCTTCAGAGCTTATTAAAAAAGAATCTGGAAATCAAGCCATGTCGACCCCACCCTGGAATCCAGGACTTTAGGACCCATCCCGTCATAGTCCTAGCACTGGGGAGAGCAGCCTGGGAAGAGGGGTAAGTGGCGCTGGTTAGAAGCAGGGAGGAGTGGGAACTAGAAGCCAAGGAGGCCAGGGTGGTTGGAGGCTGCCAGTTCCACGAAGCCCAGCGAGCCTGTGTGTCAATAGCTGGCCATGAGCCTCCAGAAGGACTTGTGGGGAACCTGAATGCACAGTGTTTCCATCCTCAGAAGAGATGTGCACCTATAAAAGTACTGAAGAGGAGAGCTACAGACGTTAATTCCACTAGTTCCATCTTCCGAACAAATCTATCAGTAAGGCCCTCTTGTGACATCCACTGTTACCAGTCCTCTGCCCATGGACAGTGGGAGGTGGAACTACATTTTTGTGCCAGGGTCTCGGTCCAGATCACAACCAGGGTGCTCTTGGAAATCACCTAGGGCTTCTGGGACCTTTGCCTTCTGTTACCTCTTTTGTAGATGCTCGTGGGTCCCTTGTCTCCTAGCTTCCACAGCAGCGTGTTTCCTAGCTGCTGTGTTCCTCTGGGGCAGCCCCATCACTTTGTTCATGATGGGATCCTCTCAGACTCTGCTGTCCTGTTCTCCTTTGCAAGCCTCAGTTTAACTGCAGAGTGGAAGGGCTCGGGAAAGCAACACACCCGCTAACTGCTGCTAATGTCATGGTAAGGGGGATTGGCTTCCTGGCCATCCTTACACCTTTACCTCCTTTCTTCTGCCCAAGATACTTCTGGAGTCCACTGCACTTCTGCAAAGGTGGTGCTCATTCATATTTCTAAATATGTTCACAAGGCATCTGAAGTTTAACAAACATTTTTACTGTTGGCCACAATGTAGAAAGAGAGGTGTTGAAATAACATGATGGATATTGGCCATTTATGAAGCCGTGGGAAGTCTTGAAGTCTGGTGGTAGGATGCACTGCTGGCTTCTATGGAAATGGATAGAACCAGGTCTATGGGTTAAGATTGTTGTCGATTAGTTTATCTACTTTGGCCCCCTCCAACCAGCGCCTCTCTCTTCTGAATACTTGGACTAATTGTCCCAAGTTTGCAATTGGGGCTCTTTCATCTCTGTTTTCTCTCTGAGCTCTAAACTAACGGATCACAGGATGGAGAAGTTAGACAACAAAGGAAGATGTTCTGAGTGCACAGGAGATCCATTTAAAGTCTGGAACAGCTAGCTGCCTGTGTTTCAGCGTCATCTCGGACCTTAGCCTCCTGCAGAACTCCAGGGCAGTGGTAGTAGGGACTCTTGATGATCTTTCCATATCCAGGGTGTAAGCAGACAGGGGAGGCTGGGTTGCTCCTCCCCACCCCCTTTTCTTTTCTTTCTCTGGACTTCAGCCCACTGTAGAACATGCAGACATGGACTTCCTAAAAGGGACCACATCCACGGTAATTTCCATTGCAACAGTAAGAGGTGTTTGGAGTAGATTTAATGTCAGCAATAGCACAAATCTCTCCCAAGCACCCGTGAGTAGAACTAGTCGATGATATACAGAATTTATGACCTGGGGGACCACTTATTTCTAATAAAATTAGAAAACTCAGGCACTGCTTTGGGATTTTGAAAAACTTTACTGTTCAGCTCCCAATGTTGAAATGTGTGAAATATGGAAAGTATCAGTTCACAATGAGACAATGAATTAATCTGCACCCTTGACTACAGCCAGGAGAAACATTACTGAAAGCAGAGAAGTCTCCTTGAGGGCCATGTAAACTCAGTGTCCTATTTCTAAAATATTCAGATGCCCTCCTGGATATATGAACTACTCGGTTGTCTTCTTTATGTCATCCTTTTAGTCTGATATAGTGATTTATAATAAGGACCGATATCATGAACTGCGGCTTTCTTTATTACTCTTCAGAGGACTACACTTTGATGCCACTTTAGTTTTCTGTGATTTTATCATTTTTCTCAGGTGACATAATTCCTCTTTCACAGATGAGAAGGTAGGAAGTTTGATTGCTGGGTCAAGGTCATGCAGCTTGGAGGTCAAGAACTAGGGCTCAGAACCTGGAGCCTAGAGGGCTTCAAAGTCTGAGCTCTTCCCACAATACTACGAAATCTGCCCAGGAATTGTTATCAGAATGACACTTTTCTGGATGGTACATTTGAAAAAGAATCTTTAAAAATATGGCACATCCAAAGGTGAAAAAGATGGAGGCCATTTAGAAATCAAAAAGCAAGAGGGGCAAAGGTGAAATTACTGAAGTTAATGAAGGCAAGGAAAGAGCTGCTGGAGAAGACCAATTTAGCTTTCTTGAGGTACTTGGAAAGACATGGTGTATAAGGAGTGGAGTGTCTTTGGAGCCAGAGGATCTTAGGTGACAGTTGGAGAAGGCAACTTTGATCTTAAGGAAGTCAAGGTATTCTGCTTGCCCAGTACTGGAAAGAGGAGGGAGCAAATCACTGGCAGGGACAGAGATGACTGCTTCCAAGAGTCCTGAAGGGTAGGGGCCAGTCAAGTGGGAGGCTGGGCTAGATGGTGTCTGAGGTATGTCAGCTCTTCGATTACATATGCACCAAGCCACAGTGTCTTAACGTGATTCAGCTCACCAGCCACTTTTATTTATGACAGGAGAAGACAGGGTAACAAGGAGATGCTGGGCCTGCAGATGAAAAGGAAGTCTAGAAGGCTTCCTGTCTGCTTAACAACTTCACTTAGGAATGGCCCTATATTTACACTTTCCATCAAAGAACAACGGGAGAGTTCCAGTCACTGATTCTTTTGGAAAATCTGTTTCAGAATTTGGATAAAAATAGATGTGTACAGATTTTCATAGAGCCAATGTGATTTTTAGTGGATTTGGGAGTTCTGAGCAGATGTTCAGTGGATAACAAAGAACCAGGTGTGAGGTTTTCCAGGACAGTGAGGTGGGTGACTGAGCTGTGACTGGGTATCAGGAAGGCCCCAGAATTTGAGTGGTTCACTGCAGGAAAAATGATTTCCTCCATGAATTCTGAACGGCAGTGTGCATAAATCAGTAGCATTGGTTTTTTAATATACTGCATTTGAATATATGTTAGAAAAGTACAAATAACTTTTAAAAATGAATGTTATGTTCATAACATTTTTTCAAGCCAGGAAGACTGACATCCTGGAGACTCTTAGGCAAGTCTTGGTAAGAAGATGGGTTTAATTAAACTGTGGGTACCTTATAATAGTATGATTTTATTACATCAAGAAAACTTGGCATGGTCTTCCTCTGGAAAATTAAGAGATTCTGATGCTTAATACCATTGATTCCTAAATGTGACACTTTCAGTTAGTGACTTCATCTGTCATCTCTTGGTACATGTGTGGGGTAATCAGGGTTTGCAAGGGAGCAGATTGAATACAGGGCACATAATTGAGAGGGTTATTTTATAATATTCACCCCAAAAGTCAAATGCAGAAGGGTACAAGAGATCTGTCAGTGCACTAGAGACCTGAAAAATTCAGCTGAAGGCCTGGATCTCATAGAAATATTCTGCACGATTCCAGTCAAGGCCTAAGGGCCACAACAATGTCTCATGCAAGTCTGTATCAAGGGTCTGCACTGGGAAGGCCAGTGGGGTAAGCTAAAGCCTGCACTATGGGGTGAAGGGTCTGAGTCACCAGGCTGAGGGATCTGCATCAGAGCCAGGAAGCAATGCTCAAAGCAAAGAGTAGAGCTCCCTGGAAGAGAACCGCAGCCCTCCCGGGTGACAGGGAGGACCTGAGCTCCTCCAACGAGAAGAGCCAAGTCCGGATCAGGAAAATGAGCAGCAACAAAGCTTCTCCTGGGAAATCAGCAGCATGCAAGTTACCCCTCCTGTTCTCCTTTTATGCCATTGGTGACAGTCCACACTGCATCTTATTCCAGCACCTGTGCTGCCTTTCCCTGCTAATGGATCCTTGTGGGGTCCCTCCTGTCCACACTATCCAGTCACACAAACCTCAGGATCAGAGTGGCTGTGGGGTGGCCCTGGGCACCTGTCCCTCAGTGGTTCATTTTGCCACTAATTGATGTACAGTTGATATAAGTTCCGTTGCACCCTACTGCTTGCCTTAAACTTGTGCAATACACAAAGTATATACAAATGTGATATTAATATGCATGTATATTCATATAAAGTGCTCCTTTCAGTCGTAAAAAGATATTGTTAGAAGTGACTATATATACACCCAGCACAGAAGAAACTGACATAGATTTACATAGCTTCTTCCAGAGCCATTTCTCCTCATTTTAGGACTATCAGGCATCCATTGCACCAATAATAATTCAGCATTCGCTGAGCATGTCCTATACGTTAGGCTCTCTTAACTGTATGTGTCATTACTGATTTATATATTTTTCAGGGCTGGGGATCAAAGTCAGGGCCTCGCACATGTCTGGCAAGTGCTCTGCCACTGAGCTAAACCCCAGTCCCCATTTCAGACAAAGTTTTAGGAGGCTTAGATGGGCGCACTGCTGTCTTCACTTTGCAGGTAGGAGAGCAGGCTGCAGATGTTAAAAGGCACAGTCAGCATGAGCTCCACACACTGCAGCAAGGTCTTTGATGGCAGTCTGTGCTTTCGCTCTCCCTGGAGAGTGGACACCACACTTTGGCCTGGTCATGTCATTGGTGCGTGTCTAGAGTCTCGCTAGACTGCCGCTCTGAAGTGCTTTGTGGGTTTTAATGCATGAAGGACAACCCGGGCTCTTACAGAGCAGGTCCACCCCAGCCTCTCTCCTGGACATCCTGGTTTTCTTGGGCACCTGCTGTCCAGGGGCAGGAGGACGCCGGTGCCTGTTTCTTTGCATTTGCACCCTACCCCTCCTCCACCTATCGAATTGTGAGAGCTCAGTTTTTTCTTTGCCCTTACTTTTGACACTTTTGGCCAGTACATAGCTGGCCAAAACTTAAAAACTTATCTTCCTGTAATGAGTGATCCTCTGATCTGTTCCTGAAAATCCTTTCCTAGCTCCAGAGTCAGTTCCTCTTGTGGGCTTTGGTTTTCTTCTCCTGCTCATGTTTTGGTACTCTGGGATGGTCCTCATGTCTCTTGTCTTGCTCTTGCATGGCTACTTTTCCGTCCCATGATTTCTATTTCCTTGTCACTGTTCCCCTCATCCTGGGACAGATCCAGTTTGTTTGTCTCCCTGCTACTGATTATATTTTCTGCAGTGTGACTTCAGCTGGTTGCTTTCTCTTCCATGTATTTTAATCTGTTATTAATTTCCTTACACTTTTCTCATTCAGCCTTCTTTTCTTCCCATCCTACTGTTACCTCCTCTGTTCTCCCCATTATGTGTTCTGTCTTGTCTCTGCAGGCCAAGTCTCCACGCACCTACCCATGCTTTAAATGCTTTCCTGAAATCTTCTGTGCCATCTTTGTCCAAAGGCTCTTATTTGAACTTTAACCATGACAGCCTTTCCCTATACCTTCTAGTGTTTCTCACATTTATTTTTTAACCCTTTATTCATTGTATTCATTATCGCCTACTACGATAGTGCTGTGTAACAAATAATCTCGATATATCAGTGGCAAATATCAATGTGTGTTCTTCTGCTCCCCACAATAATTTTTTGGCAGCACACCTTTTTAAGAAGAACGTAAGGGAATGCTTGGAGCCACTGGTGGTCTGTGTAGAAGGAGCGATGGTGGCAGTGATGGCTGTTGAGAGTGGGAGAAGAACTCGAGTCATTTTAAATAACTTCCTGCATCGATGAGGGAACGAGCTGAGCGCTTTCAGTATTTGAGGAGCTCGGCAGGAGGCAAAAGGGGAGTCTACACACCGTGTGTGTAAAGTTTTGAAAGTTACCAGCCACGCTTAGTGTTCAATAAAAGATGTTTAATTGTCTCTTCTTGACCAATAGATCTTTAGAATGTCAGAGTTGGATGATATGCTTAAAATTGTAGCTCTTTCACATTGACGAGACGAGATCAAGCATCATGATTCGTGCACGTCTGGGTGCTCGAGTGAGAGGCCAGGATGGGTGACACGTGTGAAGGGGACGCACAGCCTCCCGGATTCGTTATGTAGCAATGGGTTTTTCTTGGCTTAAATCAATCACAATCATGAATCGTTTTAAGAACATAGTCTTTTGTGAAATTTTTCTATTGAGTATACAAAGAACTAAAAATGTAATGGCACGATATGAATGTATTTTGTTTAAAATGCAAAGATTACAGAATGGAGAGTTTCAGTTATTTAGATGTTTTAAATTGTAATGATTCAAATTTAAATCACTGAATGTAACGAAATGTATGAAGTCATGAAAATAAAAATTTTAAATCAAATTAAATAAAAAGTATAAAATTTGACCTTTTGGACACTTACATTTAATTGTTTACGAATTAAACACTATATGTACACACATTCATGCACTATTTAAATAGCCTCTCATTTTATATTTCTTGGCTACCGCGTCCACATGTACAGGGTAAGTAGTGAATAGGAGGGGACACCTGTTTCCATCAGAAGGCAGCGTGTCCCTGCACAGGAACATACCACGCTCATGTGCCTCTGCGGGAGACCTCCTCACACCTTACTGACTGGCTCTGGCTTCCTAAGGGCCTCTGCTCTCTCCCACCTCCTTGTCACTCCAGTCTCTGCCCCCCCTTGGCTGTGACCAGAGGCATGTCCTGCAAATCAACATGGCGGCTAAGCAGAATAGACTTCGGTTTCAAGAACAGTGTGAAAGCTGTGGATCAGGCAGACTGGAGGAGAGAGAGAGGGGTCCTGGAATGGTGTAATTCATGGGGATAATCTCTTAAGGAGCATGCACATATGTGGTTTTCTAAAATAGTTTGGTCTATGGATCTAGGAAGTATAGAACCTGGGGCAGGAGTCCATCTTTCAACCTACTTTCCTGATTGGCAGAGAAATTGGGTCTCTCGATCAGGGAGCAGACAGGGGAGAGGAAGGATGCAACTAATTACCTTTCTATGCTCTTGTGATTGTGACCATGGCAGAGAATTCTCTATCTTTAGAAGAAGAATAATTTTGAAAGAAAGGTGGTGATTACATATGGGATATTTGTCCCTTTTTAAAATATAGAAGTAGAGCTTCTTTAAAGATACCACGTTATTGTTTTTCTTCAGCAATATTAGAACTAACACGTAATGTCTTCATTGTGGATTGATGCACAGTCCAATGTCTTCTTTGCTCTTTTGTTGTAAGGGGGCCTCTCAAGAGCCTGATGCTTTCCTTGTGTCCCACTTAAATTACTTTCCCATTGCCAGTCACTAACCTTCAGCTATTGCTTTAACCACGAAAAGCAGCAGAAAATTACAATATGGGTATATTGAATACCATTTAGAGATCCCAAATAGCTAGCTTGCCAAGCTAGTTGTACACACACTGGAGCCAGATACAGTATGGAATGCATTTTTCCAGGTAGAGGGCGATGATTAATGGGAAACGATCATGAGTCAAATCGTGTTTGTTTTGTGCATCTGTTTTGCAAAGTAGAGGTCATCGCCCAGGCAGGGTGTGTATGCAGGAATCTTTTTTATTCACTTTGAGCTGAATTCGTGTTTTATGCCAGTGATTTTAGACAAGGACTTCCATAAAGGGTGCTCTCCATGGGGAACAGTGTAGCATCTCAATCGCCGTGACCCGAACTCTTCCCACAGAAAGCAAAGCTCAATTATTGATCAGTAGAGAAATTTTGATGTGAATGCCCAGTTAACAAAATATTTAAAAATTTCCGGACATTAGAGAGGGTCCCTGTGGAAGACCTTAAAAATAAAACACTTACCATTCCTTGTTTTGTGTAGAGAGGAAGGCTCAGAACTTTGTTAAGTGATCAATACTGCTCAACTTTGTTCTTTCTGATTGTCTTTACCTACTTATTAAACATCTTAGAATATAAAAGAGACACTTCTGATTTTAATAGCAGCTGAAATAAGGCTGAACTGGGGATGATTAGACTAACAAATACAAAAAACTCTTCATTTTTCAAATGAAAAAGCAGATTCCCACTTCTCCTTGAGCGTTTCAAGGTTGACATGGTTTTGATGGCCTCAGCAAGTGCCCTAATTCGTAGAATGGACTCTGATTGGCTGTGTGATTGGAAATTGATCTAATTTCATTATTTTCACTTAATGTTAGGAGTTAGGACTTTTTGGAGCTAAATTGTATTCACGTTTAATTCTCTCTGGTTGAGATGACGACATCACACCAATTGGGGGTTGTTTTTTAGTATCACTTTCTTTTTCAAGGAGTGCACTGTATAATCACCGAACTCCTCTGTAATTACATGGCAAAGACTATGTAAATACGTAATTATGTTCATGCAGATTACTTGATAATTATACTTCCAGTTACCAAGTAATGAACGGAATAATCATCACGCACCTCGCAGCTCCCAGTTTTTCAGCTTGGTCTTTGTTTTAGCGATGGAGTGAACTAGATAATTATACTATGGTTACCCGGCACTTACATTGTCACCAGTCAGGCGTTTGCTGTGCTAGTACATGGTTATTTTTTATGCTGTAAAATGTAAAATGGAGTGAGACAGCTTTTTAAGGAAGGCTTTTCCTCCCCTTCTTGGTAAGAATCCTGTGTCTCGCAGGACTGCATGGCCAGGCCACGCTTGCCTTGTGTGTGTGCTTCAGTACGCAAGGGCAGCCCCTGGCTAGAGCCAGACAGGCCTCTGGACCTACCTTGCCAGGACAAAGGGACACGAGGGAAAGCAGAGGCCTCAGGTTTCTTCGGTGGAACATGAAACACACAGTTGTTCACCCTGAATCCAAAAGAAAGTCTCTAGTCAGCAGTGTTGTTTTAATTGTTGATTTAGCTTTCCACGGTGCTAAGTAGTGTTGGTCCTCTCTTTCTGGGGTGTGCTTCTGCCTTTATTCCAGCCATCAGCTCTGCGGGGCATCCCTTTGGGGCGACTTGGTACCTGTGCTGTGCTTGTCCCTGTGGCCCTCCGCAGACCCCACGACACGGGGCTGCTTGTCTCTCCCTCCTTCCTTTCTCTCCTTCCTCTTTTCTTCCTCCCTCCCTCCTTGCTCACTCCCTTCCTGGTACAGGGGATTGAACCCAGGGTCTTCCCAGTGACTTACATCTCTAGCCTTTTTAAACTATTTAATTTTTAGATTAGGGTCTCAGTAAGTCATTAGTTTGCCAAAGCTGGGCTCAAACTCAGGGACTTCCTGCCTCAGCCTCCCAGAATGCTACGATTACAGTCCTGGGCTTGTGTTTCTTGTAGTGTGTTCGCAGTGTCTTCTCCACCAGCCACCGGGACTGATTGCTCTTCCCCTCACGTTCTCCTGGTCCCAGCACAGAGCATGTGTATAAGCAGCTCACGGATATATCTTCGGTGAATCCATCAATTCAAAGAGAGCTGTGTGACACACTAGTTATAAAACTGATTAGCGAGTTCTCAAATCGTTACCCTTTGCTCTGACCTTGGTCTAACCATTCATGGAGTGGTATCCGATGATGAAGAACATTTTCAAAGATTTCACACCAGTGAAATTTCCCAAACAAACAAGCAACAATTCACAGTGTTTATCTTGCAAGTGCATTGCTCAGTGATATGCCTTGCCTTGGATTTTAGGAGGTTAATATGTAGCATTGAGTCCAAGCTTTCCCATCTCTCAGCTAACACCAACACACACACAGCACATTCAGTACCCCATGACTGACACGGAGGAGATTCAAAGACACATAAGTACTTTCCTATCTTTGTTAACTTGCCAGTCATGGTGGGAAAGTATCGGATACCTTGAGTGAGTTCCAATCTCCTGCCCAGTGCAAGGAGAAAAGAAAGAGAGACAGAGTTAAAGAGCCAGTTACAGGGAGCCAAGGTGACCAGTGTAGTCACAGGCTTGAGAAAACAAAGGCCCTGAATACCCAGAGCCATCAATATTACGGTGACATCATAGTTAGGTTGGGGTAAAGGAGCTATGTGGAGGGGCTGCGTAGAGTTGCTATGGACACAGAGCTGATGCAGGCAGGGCTTGTAAAGGAAGAGACAAAGCACTCTCGAGTTAGGAACGGAACAGACAAAATATACTTTGTGGTTAATAGTTTACCCTGTCTTTTTACTAAAGAAGGGTTTACCTCTGGGAATGGAATTTGGGTGTGAGTTATTCTAACCTCAGCACGTAGGCTTTAGGCAGATTCACTTCTGTAAACAGCCAGTTGTGAGGGTCACTGTCACAGCCTGCACTGCTCACAGCCTGCTTTGGGCATAATCAAGGGGACGGGCCCCTACAGCAAAGGGTAACATCCATCGTAAAATGAACTATCCTTCAGAGCAGAAGAAATGAGGAGCTACCGTCTAAAGTCCAAAACCATGCCAGCACTTTGCTTGTGCTTTTTAAGCAATGGTTTATTTCAGGGGCTACTTTTAGTTTCTCAGAGTCAACTGGTTCATGTCCATTTTAACAAATTAACACTTCATTTGTTTGATCTCTATGTGAAGAATTTGTAGTTAATTTTACTCATTCATACGAGTTCCTGCAAAATGTATGTAAAACATACAATTATATGCCTGTGCTAATAAACATTAAATGGTATAACCGTTTCATTTTTCCTTTTCCCCCATCTTTTCAGGCAATGTGAGCTTGTTTAAAAAAGCTTTCTGTGGCTTTTGAAGGATAATTTCATAGTATGACCATTTGATGATTGTTTGAAATTTGTAAAGGAAAATTGTACGAATTTCTTACAACATTTTCATTGAAACTTTAAGTGTAGGTTCATAACTGGCATCTATAGGTACCAAGTAATTTTTAACATTTCCTAATTTAAAATCACGAAATTGACAGTACATGAAAACGAAGAATCAAAAGACAGAAGAAAAATCCAAGTGAATATGAGAATTCAGTAGGTTAAAGTTATACTTAAATGGTTAGGAAAAGGCACCTGGGGAGGAATGCAACCAGTCTGTGCATAACTTTTAACAGCAACATGAGTTAGAGGTATCTTAAACTGCAGTATCTTAAAAAGAATTTCATTAATATATAAAAGAAACATAATTCAATAAACAGACTCACAATATGAAGGGTAAAATAAATCAACAACTAGTTCACCAAGAAACATCACACACGTCCATACACATAACTGGCAAAAGGACAAAGAAATGTTTTCTAGTGAGGTACAGTTGAAAGATATCAAGTGAACAGGTTGGAGGATGAGCTTTACCATGCTGTAAAGGGGGAGCCCTGTCGTTCCAGCCGTTCTTGGTGTTGGCGTAGTTGTCGTGACCCCACCGCGTGTCCTTCCTCATCTGGTCCAGAGGCTGCAGCTGGAGCTCTACATGTGAGCTTCTGCCTGGTCTCTTGGGCAGCATCAGCTTCAATGTGGAAATATCTCCTAGACATGAGGTTAAGGAGTAGCAAGATTTAGAGCTGTATGTACCCGAGATGTGATGAAACACTACAGCAACACTTTATTACGGCAAAGAGCACATTGCTATTACCCACACGCACACACTCCTCCCCTCATCTCAAACTCGCGCATTCCAGGGTTCGTGCCAGTCTCTGAAGCCCTTCTGGAAATCCTCTTTCCTGAGTATCAGTAGGGGGGCTCTCTCGGCTGTCTCCATGTGCCGAATTGATTTGAAATGCAAACCTTTCACTTCATGTTGACATTGGAGAACAGCCAGAAGTCACACGGTGTCAGAACCAGTGAATAAGGACCCTGTCATACCCTCAGGAGCCTGCATTCCCTTTGGATGGTGCTTTCACTGCCCTTTTGATCCAAACTTGGAAAGACACTCAGGAAAGAGGACTGCAGCTCTGCTCCAGAAAGTGACAGGGATGATGGCAAGAGTGTGTTCAAAGTGAGGGGAGGATTGGAGAGAGATTCACGGCAGTGTCTTTTACTGTAATAACTTTAAAAAATGTAAACATTCACTGTATATTTTGGTATCTGTCTGTCTGTCTACTTAACTGCCTGGTTCTTGGATTCACCAATATATGGCTCCTGATCCCAAGTTTGTGCCCATGGATGGTGTCTCTGGGCAGGGTCACCCTGTGGACACGCTCATGATGACAGGCAGTGGCCCTAGGCAGAGCTGTCCAGGTAAGGAGGAGGACAGGGCACCATGCTCTTGGGATCCGCAGTGAGCCAGCCCTCCCTTGCAGGTCCTTCCCATCTCCATGCCCTCTGTGGCTGGGATTTCCAGCTGTGTGCAGCAAGGGATCCGAGCCCCTCTGTCTTGGTGTGGCGTGCTACTGCGGGGCGTGCACTCAGGGCTCGGAAGGACCCGGGGCTGGGCCGACTCATAGCTGCAGCTCATTTAGCACCAGAATGTGACACAAAGATACACTCAAGATGATAAACCTCTGATCTCCACCCCTAGGAATGTAAGCTTCTGTCTCAAAGTTAATTCTGCTCCCTGCTTCTAGCTGGAGAAGTAAATTCAGGACTGTAACAGATTCTTGACAAATCCATGTTCTAAAGTCCAGTAACAAGAAAGGCATTTTAATCCCTGCGAACCTGCACTTTGGGATTGAGAAATGCTCCTCGAGGTGAGTCTTAGCTGCTGGGAGAACCTGCAGTCCTCCTCTTTGCTGCTGCTGGTTTCAGGTGACTGGCAGTGTCACAGAGGAGAGTGGCTTTACACCGAAGACTACAGGCAGCATGCCACTCCTGTCCTGAGTCCCAAAGGCTCATGTGCTGCTGAGGACTGACGCACACACCTGACACAGTTAGTTTTAAACTGAGAAAAGGAAACTGTCAAAAGACATCTACTCAGCCCAAGCGTGTTCTGCCTCTGCACGATCAGAGCTCTGTGGAGACATGGAGATACCAAGCCCCCCCACCCCGACCACTGCCCTCTCTTTGTCTCTTTCTCCTAGATACTATCATTCTTTTTCTGACGTTACTGTTTTTACAGAATCTTAAAATTCTACTGGGGACAGAAAGAAAGTCTTATTCCTAAAGGTAAGATAAAAGTGAAAGGTCAAAGATGGAAAGGCTACTAGAACTTCTCGCACCCAAGTTGCATAGATGGAAGGTGTGTTAGATGGTCCCTGGATACTTTGTTCTCGGCTACTCTGTGTCAATGAACAGTGTAGTAAGTATTGATGAGTGAGATATGCAATGCCCCAGAGTGATGCAGGCCGCAGTTTAAGTGGGAACATCCCCGGATATTGTGCTACACTTCCTAACCAGCATCTTGTGTGAGCCAAAGTGAGTTAGTAAGCACCTTGGACGCAGAGCAGAATGTGTGCTTGTGATTGTGGGGACAGGATTCCTCATTTTACTGAGTGACTTAAAAGGGGCTGAGAGCATTCTGCTGAAGTATTTCATGCTTTACAGTTACTTTTGATCAAGTGAAACAATGGACTTTAAATGCTTGGTGTTATGGCTTGTGTTTAGATGTATCTCCAACGCCTTATGGCTTTTCAAAGGTGGCTGAATCTAGAGTGTGTGATGCTGGGATTAAGAGCAACTGGTTACTAAACCACTACTCGTGAGTGATTGGTTTGGCCCTGCCCTAATCCCTGTAGTCTGGATAAGATAAAAGGGACACAAAGATGCTACTAAGGTCCCTTGTTGCTTTGCTATATTCTGCCTGCTATGTTGTTTCTCCTCTGTGATGCCCCTCTGCCCTGACACCCAGCCTTGGAGCCAGCCAATTATGGACTGAAACCTCTACAAACTGTAAGCTAAATAAACCTTTCCCCCTTTAACTTTGGGTGTCAGGTATTTTGTCTCGGCAACAAGAGAAAAGTAACTAAGACACTTG